ATAGAAGCAGGGGCTCATAAGAAGAAATGTTAAGTTAGTGATTTGGTGAAAAGGTTGTTGGAGATATTCACCAGCTCAAGTGTAAGTTCTCCATCGATCAATAATCGAACACCGATTCACATCCTCCAGGAGAAAGGGTGCGCGGCTCCTTTAAGAGATTCAAAACAGTAATTGACTTCCTGTGTGCTAGCTCCGGTGCTAACTACGACAGCACTCACACATCATCATGAAAAGGTCAAAAACAGTATCAACGTGTTTCTGACATTTACAGAGAGACAGTGTGGATTAAGTGGTTTTTCATGACGTCATGGCAGGCAGGAAAAGAAAGCTGGCGGCTGCAGCAGGTGAGCGAGACGTAAATACACGTGAGAAGCAGACGTGTGAGGAAGAGGAGAAGAGAAGTGAGAGTTCAGCTGGGAGCGACCTGCAGCTCAGACTGGGAGAGCAGTTCTTCCAGCAGCCTTGTATCAGTCTGGCTAAAGCATTCCTCGGAAAGGCAAGTGACTGACGCCTGAGCTGTGTGTTATCCTCTGAATGACTGCTGAAGGCGATCTAATGCTCTGCAGGGGATAATACGATGGTTTAACAAGTGCATGTGGAGTATTGGTGATGCGGGGCCTCCTTTAATGCATCTGTCAGACCTGTGGATGTAACACAGCTGCTGTCACCGTCAACCATAAATTGAATGTTCTTACAAAACCCAAGACAACAATAAAATCCAGGTCCAGATAAATTACAAGTAATAACTTCTTCTTTTTTGTTCCTTCCTGCTGCTGTCACACTTTACAACCAGCACTGATTCAACTCACACTTTTTTTCCTGCATTTATTTACATTGTTTATATCCCGTTTATAGCTTATATATTGCAATTTTTATATTTGCTTATGTTCATTTTGCACGTTTACTTATCTGTTAACTTTTTTACGGATGCTTCTTATTCATCCTTACCCCTTTGCTGCTGCAACAGGGACTGATAGGAGAGATAGGATGTTATCTCATAATTTCAATGAAATGTTTCATCTATTAAATAAAGTTTGACCAACTTGCATTTTTGGGGATGATGCCAATATGAAGTAAACAATTTCAACTACTGATATATTGGGCAATATATCAATAGATAAAAAAATGGCAATAATCCTAAAATAAAAATTTCAAATCCTTTTCAAAAAAGTGTGATTGTGAATTAAACATTTTCATATCAGCAAACATAAACACAGATAACAATATGTCTGTAAAAGTCAGCCAGTGTTATCGGCCAACTGATAAATTGGTCAGTCTCTACTATGAAATGCCAAAGATGCCTGTTTTTTGTGATAAGGACATTACAAGCTCCCAGAACCCTTTATCACATCTTTAAATGTCAGATATCGTCAGTCCAAAACCAACAATTCTTTTTTTTTTTTTTTT